TCTTCACCATCCATCCTGATACTGCCAATTGGTCCAGTGGTAAGAATCTTTGTCTTCTTGACACTGAGCCTCAATCCACATTGTCAGTAACAATTACAGCCTAGAAAAACTCTATGGGACAGTTATACGCTCTGTGTTGTTCTGTACCGTTGAGTTGGAACTGGCAGCTGACCCTACTGTGAATTTTCAGTCAGTAAATCGCACAGGAGGAGACTGCCCATCTTTCTCCGCTGGTGCAGCTGCTGGATTCAGACCACGTACCTTTGGGTAAAGTGAGTACAACTCCTTACCTCTAAGCTACTTACTCCATCTGACAGGGTTTCTAGAAGTTGGAATCAGTTCAATGGCATATAATAGTTTCCGGTTTAAAACAGGGATAGTTTCACCAAAGACACTCTGCCTTCCCTTAGGGACTCTGAGCTCTAGACGTCTGGTTCGCAGGGATCTCACTAGGGCAATCTCCTCCCATGGCATTTAAAGCCTCCAAAAACCTACCTGAGGGTAAGATATGAGTTAGCTGATTTCAACCATCCCAATGGCAACGAGGAATTGAGGGGAAGCCAATTCTAAAAGGCTTTTGTTTTTGTTTGGAAACCTTTGCTGTCAAGTTGATTCCTAAGGCTGTAAATTTTCACAGGAGGGGCAGCCCATTTTTCTCTCACAGGAGGTACAGCCCATTTTTCTCCCAAACAGCTTGTTTTTGATGGATTCAAGCCACCAATGTCATAGCAAGCCACGAGGGTTCCTTACAGTGTATCCGAAATGCTTAGCTGACGCATAAAGGTTATCTTTATGTAATACTTATTGAAATGACAAAATTTTAGATCACATTAGGGACAAAGAGAGTGGGTGGGAGGAAGATGGGTGTGGTGACAGGAGATACTATAGGGGACCAGGGATGGCAGAAATATTCTGTATCCTGACTGTGTGAACCTCCACATGATAAAACTGTGTAGAACTAAATACCACACATAGAGAAGTACAAGTAAACTGAAAAACTGAACAAACTCTGTGGCGGTATGTAACAAAGTCAGTACACTGCGGTGATACATAATGTACTATTGTTTTGCAAAATGACGCAATTTTGAGAACTAGATTAAGGATGGATGCAAAAAAAGATCTCTGTGTTTTTAACTACAATACACAATTTTCACAATTAAAAGACTGAATTTCTTAAAAAAAAAAAAAGCCGGGCTAGATGTTCTTTAAATGTCATCTTCTCGTTCTTGTTGTTGTTGTTATGCGCCGTCGAGTCATTTGCGTGCGACTCATAGCGACCCTATGTACAACAGCCCTAAACTCTGCTCTGTCCTGTGCCAATCTCATTGCCTCCGACACACTCATCCCGACTGCCCCAGTCACCGAATCAATCAATCTCCCAGAGGTCCTTACCCTCCTGCGCCTGTCCGCCACCCTCCCAAGCATGATGTCCTTCTCCAAGGACCGGTCTCTCCTTACAACGTGACCAAAGTATGTCAGACGAAGCCTCAGAATCCTTGCCTCCAAGGAGCAGCTCGGTTTAACCCTCTCCAAGATGAACCGTTTGTTTTCTTAGCAGTCCATGGCACCTTCAGCACTCTTCTCCAACACCAAAGCTCAAAAGCATCAATTCTCCTTCTATCCTCCCTGGTCATTGCCCAGCTCTCTGCTGCATAACAAGTGATTGCAAAGACCATGGCCTATATCAGATGCACCTTAGTCTCCAGAGAGACACCATTGCTCTTCAGAACTTTGGAAAGGTTCCTAACAGCAGACTTTCCCATCGCAATACATTTTTTTAATTTCCTGGCTGCTGGTGCCAAGACTGTTGACTGTGGAGCCAAGCAAACTAAAGCTGTGTACAATCTCAATCTCTTCACCATCCATCCTGATGCTGCCAATTGGTCCAGTGGTGAGAATCTTCATCTTCTTGACATTGAGCCTCAATCCATATTGAAGGCTGCAGTCCCTGACCCTCAGCAGCAAGTGCTTCAGGTCCTCCTCAGTTTCAACAAGCAGGGTTGTGTCATCTGCATAACACAGATTGTTTATGGATCTTCCACCGATCCTGATGCCACATCTCTCCTCATAGAGTCCAGCCTCCCAGATGATCTGTTCTGCATACAGGTTGAAAAGGTATGGAGACAGGACACATCCCTGGCCTACGCCCTTCCCGATTCTGGTGGCCTAATGGCAAGAAGCTGCACTGCAATTCCAAAGGCACATGGTTCGAATCCACCAGATGACCCGCTGGAGGAGGGACAATCTCCTCCTAAGCCGGTTGGCTCCGATACTACGGTGCACAACAACATCAAAAATCAAGAATGTATGCCTTTCAGCTGTAGTGCTGGAGAACAATACTAAATATACCATGGACTGCTAGGTGAAAAATAGGTTCATTCTGGAGAGGGTGAAACAAGGCTGCTTCTTAGAGGCAAGGATTCTGAAGCTGTGTCTGACATACTTTGGACACGTTGCAAGGAGGGACCAGTCCTTTGAGAGGAACATCATGCTTGGAAGCGTGGAAGGACAGCACAAGAAAGGAAGACCCTTGATGAGATGGATTGATTCAGTGACTGGGGTAATGGCAATAGGTGTGTCAGAGATGATAAGGTTGGCACAGGATAGACTGAGTTGCTATGAGTTGCAAGCAATCTGATGGCACATAACAATCACCACCACCCCAAATTTCACCAAAGCAAGTATCCTTTCCACTCTACCATATGTAACAAAACCGAACTCAGAGGACAGGATAATTCCAAAAATAAGATATACTAATAAAAAAATAAAAATAAATAAAAAAGATATACTCTAAAGGTACTTGGTTCGAATCCTCTTATGGGAGAAGGACAGGCAATTTCCTCCCATGCAATTTGCTGCCTCTGAAAATCCACTGGAAGGTCAGCTCCACTCAATGGTGCATAGCACCACTTTCAGGGAGCTCTGGTGGCAGTTCAGAGAAAGCTGCGCTGCTAACTTAATCCAGCAGTGAGTCCAAGGGAGAAATAGGGGCGCTCTCCTCCCTTGCCATTTACAGCCTCGGAAACCCAGGGGAGGGTCAGCTATGTGTCGTTCCAACTCAATGACAATGGAGAGAGAGGGCATGGCACTTTTCATTTCCTCAGAAAAACTACTCCAATTGATGCAAATTAAGTGTTATGCTTTCTTCTCTTAAACTGCCTTCTGGTTGAGAATTGTCGGGGAGCTCTGAGCGCTTAGTGGTAACGAGGTGGTACTGCCAACACAATGGTACTCAGTTCGAATGCACCTGCTGTTCCACTGGAGAAAGATGGGCGATCTCCTCCCATGCCACCTATTACCTCAGAAAACCCACTGGAAGGTTGGCGATGGGTGGTTTCCAACTAGACAGTCCACCACATGTCTCCCCCATGAGTTAATCACTTCTGCTCATGAGTGAATCATTTCTGCTAACTGAAAGGTTGAAGGTTCGAGGCCATCAGCTACTTCTCCAATAAAGAGGTAGTTGGCCCTCATCAAGATATACAGCCTCTTAAAATACTATAGGGCAAATCTACTCGGTCCTATAGGGTAAAAATAACAACAGTGGGTATCTCTGTAAGTCACATTCCTGCAAAGATAATCACCGTAAATATTGTCGAACTTTTAAATCTCCCCTGAAAGCAGTAGAAATGTATTATCACGACGGGTCTTTTCCACCAAATTCCAAGTGGCTGGCCAGTTATTCCAGAAGGTTTATGTAGTGCAGAGGGCAGGACTGCTGGCTTTGGCCAGGTAAGGTGAGCCTTTGGCTAGGTTCCTAAAATTTGAGTCTGATCTCTAGAACGCGGATGTGGAAACTCAGTCCCTCCTCGACTATAAGAAAAACAATGATGTGCTTGGCACTAATATACTAACTAATCTCTCCCTCTGTAACAATCGATCCAAGCACCTGGCCAACTCCACTCATCGGCTGAGATCTCCTCACAGACGTTAGAATAGGTAGCCCAGAACACTCCCAACCTGGACCCCTTCCACAGCAAACACTGCAAAGCCTCAGCCCCAGGCGCCCGGCGGTCCCTGCGCTACGTTACCAGCTTTACTCCTGGGGTATATCTGGGGGTGCGCAAAGGGCGCCCGCCTCCAAAGCAAGGTCCATGGAGCCGCCAAAGCGCTTCCAGTGCAGATTTCAGGCTAAAAACCTCTTCAAAATAATAATAATAATAATAATAATAATAATAATAATAATAATACATAAAATGCCTTTTTCGGCAGGAGAAAGCAAGAGTTGTAAAGTTTCCGGAGGCGCATTTTCCGTGTTTCCCGAGCCCCTCTGCAAAGGCGATCGGGGTGGAGAGGGACGACGGGGACCCAGGAGCGCAGCGCAGGGCCAGCTGCCTGCTGACCGTGGAGGACAAGAGCAGCTGCCCCGGCCGGGCGCGAAGGGGTCCCGGGGTCTCAGCCACAGCCGCACTCACCGTCCGTGCTCCTCTTCGCCTCCCGGTAGCGCTCCCACAGGTAGCGCTTCATGTCAGGAGCGGTTCCGGGTGCTGTGCACAAGGGCCGTGCGGAGACGTGGTGCCGCCGTCCTCGAACCACAGTCCCGCAGTAGCCCCGCAGGGCCGACGCCGCCCTAGGCCAGGCCGCACGGGCCGTCACCGCCGCTGCAGCCATCGTTGCCCGCACCGCGCTGCAAGTGGTGCCGCGGGGCCCAGGAGCAGCTCGCGCTCAGACCCGCCGGTGGGCGGCTCCCTGCGTCGGAGCACGTGGCGGCGCGGGGACGGGGGCGGGACGTATGCCGCTGAGAGAGCTGGAGAGGAGACGAGGGCGGGACTAGCGGGGCCCGGGCTCTGGGGCGGAGCCTGCAGCGGGGAGGAGGCGGGGCGTGTGTCTAGAGAGGGCGGTACTGGCGAGGCCCAGGCTCTGGGGCGGAGCCTGGAGAGAGGCAGGGGCGGGGCGTGTGCCCCGGAAAGGGCTGGAGGAGAGACAAGGGTGAGATTGGTGGGGTTCGGGCTCTGGGGTGGGGCCTGAGGCGGGACAGGGGCGGGGCAAGTGCAGGGAGGCTGGAGAAAAGACAAATTAGGAGGGGACTGGGTTATGGGCGGGGCCTGTGGCGGAGTCTGGAAGGCGGAGCGTGAACAGTGAGGAGGGCTTGAGGGGAACACGAGAGCGCGATTGGGCTGTGAACGAATTGTGGGAGGGGTCTGGAGCAGGAGTTTGAGGCGGGACGTGTGCCCCAGGCTAGGAGGGAAGTGAGATTGGGATTGGACACTAATGTCCGGTCTGTGGGCGGGGCTTAAGAGGTGAGGCAGGTTGCATAGTACACGGAGCTCACTTCCTAAATTCTGGGTGCTAGGGTTAAGGAGGTGCTAGAGGTGTTGGTGTAGTCGTGCGAGGCGGAAAACACACGGAGTGGGATGACTCGCCTTCCGCCTCGGTAATATGCACAGATCTCTGGCCTCTGGACCTCCCTGAATCACTGGCCTCTGAGCCTTCTTTCCTTAACCCTCCACTTCGGTCATGCGGTTCGTCCCATGAGAGGGCGCTGGGTCAAGGTCGGACAAACGGCCTGGCATAAATCTGGGGGCCATTCTGGTCCTTGCGGTCTGTTGAAAGGCTTTGATACTTACCACGCCCCGACAATGGTTTTCCCCTCTCTTCTGTCAAGGAAATCGGGGCGGGAGAAGGGAGGGACATTTTCATTCACTCAGTACCAGTTTGCTCGTCTATTTCTGCCTGCTGTTTTATTTTGAGGAGCAAAATAAACGCGCGCAAGTCCTCAAGGGGCTTCAAGTTCAGAGGGCAAGACAAATATTTAGCAAATAAATGAATCATGTACTCTTAATGTCAGCTATAGCATCTCAAGCCTCTTAAGACTCAAACAAATGTGACGAGACAGAAGCAACTCTCGCTCTTTCCGTGCCTGTCATCACTAGGTCATTGCCATTAAGTCGGAAGTGACTCCTAGCTAACCCTCCCTTGGATTTCTGAGGTTGCAACTGACTTGTTTGAATTGACAGATGCAGCCTTAGATGCACTCACCAGGGTCTATGCCAGGAAATTTGGAGTACAGCTGTCTGGCCAATGGATTGGAAGAGGTCCATATTTGCTCCCATTCCCAATAAAGGTGATCCAAAAGAATGTGGAAACAATCGAACAATATCATTGATATGACATGCAAACAAAATACTACTTAAGATTATTCAAAATCGGCTGGAACAGTACATAGATAGGGAACTGCCTGCAGTTCAAGCAGGATTTAGAAGAGTTCGTAGCACTACGGATATCATTGCTGATGTAGGATGGATCCTGGCTGAGAGTAAAGAGTACTAGAAGAATGTCTATTTGTGCTTTATTGACTATGCAAAGGCATTTGGATGTGTGGATCATAACAAGTTGTGGCTGACATTGAGGAAAATGAGAATAGCAAAACACTTGATTGTGCTCATGCAGAACCTCTACCTGAATCAGAGCAAGGGAACATTGCATAGTTTGGAATTGGGAAGGGAGTGCACCAGGGTTGTGTTCTCTTTCCATACCTGTTTAATCTGTATGTTGAGCAAATTATCCTAGAAGCGAGGCTCTGTGAGGAGTGTGGCATCAGGATTAGAGGCAGACTCGTCAATAACCTACGTTATGTAAATGACACAACCTTGCTTACTGAAAGTGAGGAGGACTTGAAGCACTTGTTGCAGAAGATCAAGCAATGCAGTCCTTGGTGTGGATTGCATCTCAATATCAAGAAAACAAAGATTCTTACCACTGGATCGATAGGCAGTGTCATGATGGATGGAAAGGAGATTGAAACTGTCAACAGCTTCATCTTGCTTGAGTCAGTAGTCAGAAAACAAAGAGCTACCTTACACTGGGAAAATCTGGAGTTAGGGACGTCTCCAAATTATTAAGGAGTAATGATGTCAGTTTGAGGACTGATGTGTGTCTGATTCAGGCCATGGTCTTTCCAATTACTTGCTATGTGTCTGAGAGCTGGGCAGATAAGGATGACAGGAAAAGAATTGGCATCTTTGAGCTGTGGTGTTTGAGAAGAGCGCTGAACATCCCATGGACGGCCAAGAGAACAAACAGATATGTCTTGGAGAGCGTACCCTTTAGAGTCAAGAATGATGAGGCTTCCTCTCACATACTTTGGTCATGTTGGTAAGAGGGGCTATTCCTTGGACAAGGTGTTATTCTTCAGACAAGGACATGATGCTGGCAAGGGTGGAAAATTAGCGAAGGGGAGGAAGACCCTCAACCAGGTAGATTGACACAGTGACTGCTGCAATAGGCTCGTGTGTGTCAGGAAGTATGAGGATGGAGCAGGATAGATAAGGGTTCAGATCTATTGTTCATAAGTTTGCTATGAGTTGTGCTTGACTCGATGGCAGCTAACAACAACACCACCACCACACAGAACAAGACTGACCATCTTTCTTCCTGGGAAGCCACTGGTGGAGTCTAACCAGAGAGAAGTATGGCCACCAAGTTAGCAGTGCAACTCCCTGCAACCACGTCCACCAGGACTCCCTTACATGCCTGTGGGCCATCCAAAACCAAGTGAGTAGACCCACTAAACAAATTTGTATAAAGTAACTGAATCAACCCCAGCTCCTGTGAAAGCCAGAAAGTGGCCACCCAGAACCCAGCTGATAATCAAGGGACTATAAGAACTACAGGGTTATGCAGGGTGCTGGGTGGAGGCTCGGTGCAGTACAAGAATAACTCTCAAAGCCTGTACTCAGCTGGGAAAACCATACTGTCACGGGAAATGTTGCTATGGTTTTTAGGGACCACTGAGTCCCTTGTGACTCAGTGACTCTGTGAACAGCAGATCTGAATCTTGTTCTAACCCTCCCTATCCTCATGATACCTGACATGCTCGTACTCATTGCTATAATCACTGTCGGTCTTTGTTGAGGATCTTCCTCTCTCATGCTGACCTTCTACCTTTCCAAACATGATATCCTCCTCCAAATGACTGCGCCCTCTTGAAACATGCTCAAAACATGTGAGATGACGCCTCACCATCCTTGCCTCCAACATGTACCCTGGTTGCACTTTCTCCAAGGCAGATTTGTATACTCTTGGCAGTCCATGAGATATTCAATACTCTTCTCCAACACTACAACTCAAAGGCATTAATTCGTCATTGTCCAATTTTCAGATGAATAGGAAGTAAACTAAAAGACCATGGCTTGGATCAAGCACACCTACGTTTTAAAACTGAAATATAGGTAACAAACAGACAAAATGGGATGTTTTTGTTGTTGAGTACCATTGAAGCAGAACTGACACATAGCTGACCCTGCAGCAGGTTTTCAGAAGCTGTTAACTGCATGGGAGGAAATTGCCCTGCTTCTACCAAGGAGCAACTGGAGCATATTTTAAGAAGCCAAGGCACTGTTCGTTGTTAGGTGTCCTCAAAGGGGACTGACCCTATGAACAACCGAATCCTGTGCTAACCTGAGCCGTCCTCACAATCTCTGACACATTCCAGCCCATTGCTGCAGTCACTACAGCAATCCACCTGATTGAGGGTCTTGCACTCATTCACTGTCCCTCCACCTTTCCAAGCATGATGTCTCTTTCTGAGGAATAACCTCTTCTAGCAGCATGCCCTAAGTATGTGAGACAAAGCTTTGCCATCCTTGTCTCCAAGGAGGTCTTTGACAGCACCTTCTCTAAGATATAGCTGTTTTTTTTCTTTTGATAGTTCATGGGATATTCAGTACTCTTCCCCAACACCTATAACACTGAGATAATGATGGTAGGTGTGTCAGAGACAGTGAGACTGGCTCAGGATACAGCAGGATGCAGAGCTGTTGTGCATAGGGTTGCTGAGTCCTCCATGGTGCATAACAACAAGTTGTTGTTGTTGTTGTTGTTGTTGTTGTTGTTGTTGTTATGTGCCATCGAGTCGCTTGCGACTTATAGCAACCCTACATACAAGAGCTCTAAATGCTGCTCTATCCTGTGCCAACCTAGCCATCTCAAACGCACTTATTCCCACCGCTCCAGTCACAGAATCGATCCATCTCACCAAAGGTCTTCCTCACCTTCGCCGCCCCTCCACTCTGCCAAACATGATGTCCCTCTCCAAGGACCAGTCCCTCCTTGCAACATGCCCAAAATATGTCAGAAGAAGCTTCAGAATCCTTGACTCCAGGGAACACTCTGGCTTTACCCTCTCCAGGACAAACCTGTTGGTTCTCCTAGCAGTCCATGGTATAGTCAACACTCTTCTCCAGCACCACAGCTCAAAGGCATCAATCCTCTTTCTATCAACCCTATTCACTGTCCAGCTCTCTGATGCATAGCACATAATTGCGAAGACTAAGACTATAGGCCGGATCAGGCGCACCTTAGTCTCCAGCCTGACATCGTGGCTCTTCAGTACTCTTGAGAGGTCCCTCACAGCCGACTTTCCCAATGCAATTCGTCTCCTGATTTCCTGGCTGCTGTTACCAAGAGTGTTGACTGTGGAGCCAAGTAAACTAAAACTGTTAACTATCTCAATCTTTTCACCATCCATGCTGATGCTGCCAATTGGCCCAGTGGTTAGAAACTTTGTTTTCTTGACAAACAACAAGTACAGAACAGATAAATTATAGCAGTACAATATAAAGCAATACAATACAAGGTTGCATAACTTTAACAACATTGTTTCAATA